TCAAAGCATTTCCTTATCTATGCATATAAGCACCTCATGTTAGGATTGGACAATACCCATATTTGGGATATGAAAATATAAGATTTTAAGTGTGGTGAGTGAATTAAAGTTTAATATGTCTCGTTGGAAATAAATTGTTTTTTCGTTAGTAAAGTTGATCATATTTACCGAGTGGAACTAGTGATTCCGCATCATTCGTATATGGTCTACTTAAAGTATTTTATTTTATTTTTTATTTGCATAAATTTATTACGAATCTTAACCGACCAAGTTAACTAACAAGATCGACATGAAATCAAACAATTAAAAAGAAAACAAAGCAAGATGCATGAAGTTAGAACCATAAAGCCTAGTTATGGCTGTCCTCATTGCTATAATGCATATATTAGCTTATTCCACCTTTGGCATGAAGCGATTCTTTTATTAAATTAGAATATTACAAATATCTATACCACGCCTTTTTCAGTTAGAATATACACTTTTGGTAATCAAATGTAGTTGGGCAAGATAATAGGCATGAATCACGATTTTAATTTCAATATGATTGTAAAAGGTATATAAGTAAAACTAAAAATAAAACTACTATATATGTAAATAGCTAGTGTAGGTTTAGTGAAATTTCGACCTAAAAAACAACAAAACTTATGAACGAAAATGAAATTTGGGAAATAGAATAATTAAAAAATATTTGCATTGAAGCCTTAAATTATAATGTAGGGTACGTTTAGGCAGATGATTATCAATTTCAAGCAGGATTAGTATTATTTTATTTTATTGAGAAGAATCAATTATAGAATTAACCCCAGATAAAAAAGTAAAGAACTTCATTTATTCCCATAGTCTTTCGAGTCAAAGCATTTTTTTGTTTTTATTTTGGAAAATATATTCATAAATAACAAAATTAATACAGCAAATTACTGTTGCCTGGCTGGATGAGAAGGCATAATCATTTTATAGGTAGAAGCCACTTTCGAAAGGTAAATGCATGAGTAGAGAAAATATCAAATTGATCTACACGCCTGAAAACTATAATTCCGTATATAAATGTGAAACCACATCACAATAAACATATAGTTGCTTTTCAATATTAATCGATTATAAGTTTATGATTTGGTAATCAAATGTCAGCTAATTAGTGTAGCTGATGATTAACATTAATTTAGAGCTGGCCTCTAATCTTAATTATCCACCCTTAATCTTCAATTATATATATTTACACTTATAATTAAGAGTTCATAAATTAGGGTTGAGAGCTCACAATCGTGGCTTGTAGTTTTCCTCTACGTTTTCTGACACTTGAACCCTAAATTAACCTTATTAAATCCTTTACTAATTGGAAGTGTCTTTAACTAAATGGGCAAAACATGAATAAGTGGTAATAAATTAAGGATTAAGGTATCACTACTCATACCAAAAAGAAGGCTTCAGATAGCTACCCAGAAAACATACATCACACCAACTCGTGATGTTATCCTAACTATATATGTTTTTATTTTTATCTTACTAATAATAAACAATCTATTAATAAGTACTTATAGAACATTGCGCCGTTATGGTTCTGCTGTTTACATCACGCCACACACCACCCATTTTATTAATTTATTTTACCATTTTTTTGAAATTCATTCATTTATTTTAATTAACTCTCAGATAAGAATATCCGTGCATTGCAGAAGCACGCGGGTAAGGGAAAACAATAAAATAAAGCATGGTATCAATTTCCAAATGGTAAAAGAGCAAGGTAAATAATAAAGCATAAATAAAAAGGTGAGTAGTGAAATTTAATTAAATCATGCATTTTTCGTACCTGTGATTCATTTTCCAATCTAAGCTTATTAGCGAGGTATTTGATAACCAGCCGGATTGTCATCCTGCCATCCCTACATAAACCAACCCGTTCAAACAATGAAATGATTTTAATTGCAAACAAGCTAGAAAAATAAGAATATATGTGATTAATAATAGAACTAATGGGTGGGGGAAAAGGAAGTAAGAATTTACTTAATTCTCAAGTAGCTCTTAGATATCTGAGGCAAACATGCTTCTCTTTCCCTGCAAAACAAAATCAAAAGGAAGCCCATCATCACAAATGATCATGATGTCCTCAAGAAATTATGTAAAGCTTGCAGGTAGGGACACAAATTAACAAAAAGAAGGGAAAAAAAGGGGGAAAAAGGAGCAATTGAGTACTCCTTCATACCATCCCAAGAAAAAAAAAAAGAACTAGTTATACTCCGTAATTAATAAAAGCAGAAGCAAAACTAATTAATTAATGATTGCCCATAATTCATGTTTGCATATATAGCTGGCCATCAACACACTGTATTATCCCTCTATATGCATATGTATCAACTGGAAGTGATTAATCAACGTTTTAGTTAAATAATTAATTAGTTAATTGATTGATTAATGCTAATTATAATGCTTACTGATTTTGCGATGCTTGCAGCATAAACCATATCCCGGATTGCGGTCTTCTCGGAGGCTGAACGACCCTGAAATCGAGACCCGGCCGGCGTCCGTACGCCACGTCATCGTACACCGATTGAAATGGCCGAGGCGCCGCCGCCGCCGGCGTTACAATCACATTCTGTGGATGTGAAGAAAAATTAGCCGCGGCAGTGGCTTGGAACAAAAATGGCGTAGTGCTAAAAAGCCCTTGCGGGGCTCCGATTGCCGATCCTAATAGATACGCATCTCTATTTGGCATCAGCTCAAGCTCCACCGGATTTGATTGATTTGGCCGGACATTAACAATGGTGGTGACCGAGGCGGAGGTGGTGTGTGGATGACGAAGGCCGATACTGAGCTGCAACCACCCTTCATCGTCGGTACCGCCCATATTGCTGCTATTGCCATTGTTATCCTTCGAATTAGTGCTCGATTCAGCGCCGCCGTGGTTTCTGGTGGTAATTTCCTCCTCGTCAGCCATGGATGATGGACCAAAATTAGAGCTACTGTTATCGTTATTGTTGTTGTTGCTGCTGCTAGTGTTATCGATTGCTGCTACTGGACCTGTGGTGGAAGCTTCGGTCGGAAAACCATAACCCTCCAGCTGGTTCACGACGCCGGAAAACCGCCCAATTTTGTGTTCCCCAACCGCCGCCGAGAGCATGGTCGTCTCCGGAAGCCCCCAAACTCCAAAACTCCTAGGGATTCGAATCTCGAAGCTTCAAAGGCAGCCATGAGATTGAGCTTGGTTTTTGATGATCTGGAGATGTGCGGCGGCCATGGAAGATGCTAATCGGAATACACCACCCATAGACCGGCGGGTAACAGCATATGTCGTGTAGGATTAATAGCTAGCAAGGTGTTAATTGATTGATTGATAGATGGATATATATGGTTTGTAAATTGTAATGAATATATGCGTGTTTATGTATTCAGATGTGGATAAAATGGGTAGCTATAGAGAAAGAAGGTTGGAAATTTCGCTTTCCATTAATTCTCTTTGTTTGGAAGGTTGTGCAGAAAAGCTGAGGGGGGTGGGGTGTTTGGGGGTGTTGAAATAGTTGTGGGCGTGGTACAAAAAGATGGTGGTGAGTCAGTTACATGCTATTTTATATTCATATTATTAATTGTAAATATTAAATTATATATAAATTGTAATTTATGCCTGTGTGTTTCTCCGTGTGTATGTCTACATTGGGGGTGGTGGTGTAAATAGTAAAAGTATAGACATGTTTTGCTTGTGAATAATTAATAGCTGATGATTGTATTAGTGTTTCAGTAATTTGGTGGCCACGGATAATTAATAGGTGATTGTATTAGTGGATAATTATTAGTGTTAATTATTTCGTTAAATTTGCTAATTAGTTTGTTTGATAAAAAAAGATAATTAGTTTTTTAGTCCAAAACGTCAATTCTAAAATACCTCAATGACCTTGTTTGGCTATTAACTGATAGTGGATAGCAAATTACTTATTGTATATTAGTTGATTTGACCAACAAATTCTAATGCATATTTGTAAATAACTGTTTAACTATTGGATAATTTTATATTGGCATGTTAATCTACGAATCATGTTTTTTTCAAAACGTTCATATACTGAGATTTTTTAAGAATTAGCATCTTGGACTAAGAAGTTAATCAAATAAACTATTTACCAAATAAGTTAATTTGCAGATTTGACGGGTCATACCTCTATATGAGGTTCAATCCGTTAATTTCATACCAATCTACTAATATCTAAACATGGGCAATGTATAGGCAATTTGAGAATAGATGGTTCGTCAAATAACATGTCAATATAAAATTAACAACATAGTTATGCAATACGTTATTTACCAGCAAACGGCTATTCAAATCTGTTATCATGTACCCACTAATACAATCAACTATTTGTTATCCACTTAGCCAATTAGGGCTAAAGTTTGTAGAATAACGCTAATCAACTAAATTTGCTACAAAATAAGCTATGGCCCCGTTTGGTAAATAGCAGATTGAAGATAAATTAGCGGATTGGACTTAATTGAGAGGTTTGACCCGTCAAATCCGCTATTGAGCTTGTTTGGTAAATAGTTTAATTGATAAGCTTTTTGGGTCCAAAACTCTAATTTAGAAAAAGCACATTAGAGCAGCTTTTTGGGATAGAAGATTCACAATTGAGAGGGTTTACTTAGAACTTTTTAATTTGTCTTATTTATTTTACAATCTACATTGGTTTATATAGCTAATAAATGATAATATGTCATCCATATGATTAATTTATCTAGAAAAATGTAAAATTCATAACTTCTTCATCAAGTGCTAGTAAATTTAAAAACAAATATATATTGATAAATTACCAACTAAAGAATATTAAATGTTTTATATATTATTATTAAAAGAATACTCTCTAAATAATAAAATGTCCTTATTGGTCATTTTGCAATGTCAAACAACTATAAGCTTTCAGCTATTTAATAAACACTTATTTAAAAACCTCTAATGCAATCCGCTGGTCAAATCAGCTAATATAATCCGCTATTCGCTATCCGCTGATACAATCCGGTATCTGCTATCCGCTGATCGCCAAACAAGGCCTATATCAAATTCGATTGGTCAAACAGGTTGAATCCGTTAGTTTAGCACCATTCCCCTAATAACCAAACGAGTTGGTTTTATTTTATTTTATTTCATTTTATTTATTTATTTGTTGCTGTTTGGTCTGTTGAGTCTTGAGTGCTTAGTTAATTTAACACAAAGGAAAATGAGGGTATATTATTCATCTTGTTGAGTCATCCAATCAAAAACAACTTTGGGGCATCTTTCCAATAATCGAAAATTGAAATTACAATATAAAGTTACTCTGTTTTCAGTATAACGAAAAGGCCCTTTTTACCTTCTTTAGGTGCATTGGATACTAATGTCTCAAAGCTGGATGTGCTGAAAACATTAAGGCTGCCATTGTAATTATATTTGTTCTCCTTCTTTTCTTCCTTTTGCAGATATATATTTACAAGTTGTAATTATTTTGTGACAATCGGATAAAGAAATGTACTCAAATAAAAATCAGTAAAGATGATGTTAGTCTGGTCTAACGGACTGTTAGACAATTATACTTTTTTCCAGCATAATTATACTTTCTAACTATTGACTCTATAGCAAAATTGTATCTCAAAACTAAAACGATATTTCATTTTATAAGTATACAATTTTTCATTTATAAAAATATGATGGATAGATCCATCTAATAGTTAGTCCGCCTAATACAAGATTTTATGAATAAAAAATATATGTCAAGTAGAATCTGTCACAACTAATTATTGGAGTTACATGGCATTTGAATTGTCTTATTTTTCTTACCCCTTCCCTCACATACACAGAATGTTGCTAGTTGTTAAAAATATTTCAAATTTGTTTACTTGTAAGATAATTATTTATAGAATACTTGGTGGAAAAAAATAATTGTCTCCCATACTTGTATCACTCATGTGCCAACTGTAAGTAAAAATCCCTCCATATAATTGAAAATAAAAAAAATAAATTACTATACCAATGCTGCATTTTAAGTTGTAAACAAAAGTTAATTTAGCGTAGTTTAGTGTGGCGTTTCGTTGGTTACGTCTCGAACTATTTGGTTGTGAATGATTAGTGATATATGCATTAATTAAGGATTGTATTTAATTGGTGATGTTATGAAAAAAATTATAATTTCTCGGGCCAGGATTATTTCCAAAAGATGAAGGCATATATCAAGTCGGGCCTGTATTTTCGGGTTAACTCATGAATGAATGGGTACCTGACTATCAAACGGGTATTGGGTCAGTATTTTCGGGTATGAGTTACCCAATTTAACTAATGCACGGACACCCGAACCAACCCAATTGAGAACGGGTAAAGCCCATACCCGACTAATTTACATTCCCATCAATATGATTGAGCTGCTAATTAATTAGAATCAAATAGCTCATAAGACACTATGAATGTAAACGAGGCAAGTCCATGCTCATGGTTCACAAGTCTAACGAATCAGACCACTCATTTTGTTTAACAATTCGATTGATATCTAAGAAACCCATAAAGAAAGATATAAAAGTTGAAGACATTTTGTTACATATATTTTATATGTAACTTTGCCATTAATAGCAGTGAAATTTTGCTACACTGTATAGTTTTTACCCTTTGCACAAAATAGTTTTGTCACTAATGATAGTTTTAACCGTAAGCAATAATTAATTGTGCTTAAGGTTTTGATTAACTCATATTCTTCACTAGTGTGCATTAAGAACTTTATATGGAAACCTCGACCCGTTTCATGCATCATCATTGACAGAAACTGAGGAAAAACGGGTGTCGGTTCACTATCATGAAGTGCACCATGAACGGGAAAAGCTCATATGAAGTCTAAATGGAGTTCTATCCCAAAATCAATTGGTGGAAGGAGAAGCAGTCCATTAGTCTTATAAGGTGGGTCTATTTTCCATGTATGGATGATGTGGGACAACTCACAAGTAATATTCTAACAATAATCAATCGTTGACAGACCAAATTAAAGCACTTGTTACTCATCATAGAGAGAACATAGGTAGATGATGAATGAAGATTGAGTAAACATAACGTTAAGTGCATATGATATTCATTAGATTAGTTAAGATATAATAATTAGGGAGCCCAATTATTAATAAATGGATTTGTACATATATATATTAATATTATTAAGTAATGATGCATAGATGTATGGGAAAAGATTAATGAATGGTTTTTGGCATGCATGATTAGCAGAAGAGAGGGACGTGGTCTTGTAAGTAGAGGCACGTGCCCCCCACCCTCCCTGCAACATTCTTACATTCATTCCTACAGTTGACTCAACAATACCCTCCAATTACAAAACAATTATNTTCACTTGTTTACCTCTAACTTTGATTAATATGTAACCTTAGTCATTTAGTCTACGGTAATTTTTGCTACTAATTTTATATGATTATATGTAAGTGAAGGAAATGGTGGAAAGATTTTACTCCCCGTGCAATACACAGCACAATGTCTTCTTATTTTGTTTCAGTGTGTATAGTTGAAAGTTAAGTGAGCTTTGAGTACTCAACTGTTGAGAAAATTTTGACACTTGAAAAGGGGCAATTGTAGCGTTGATTTCTTACAAGTTCCTAGTTAAGTAACTGTAAAATCTTTACAAGTTTCGATTTATTTAAAGAAAATGCCAAGAAAGATGCAATAATCCAAGAGGAAGAGACTTGGCCAAATGCTTTACTTTGTTAAAAACTCAATTGATCGTGCCGAGTAAGCAAATTGTTTCTTTCACTTGTAAGTTTAGGGTTTATAAAACCATTGATTTTAATAAATAAAAAAAAAATCCAATACAACAATCTCAAAAATCAAAAGCACATGCACACAGGGAACAAAAGCATCATAACTCAGTCCAAATTTCAACACAAGGGCTAAAACACAAAATTTAATAAGCCTCTCAGCAAAGCCTCACCACATCCTAACTAGGAAAAACAAAGATGATGTACAAACACACATACAGAAAAACCTGATGAATAATAAGTGAAAATTAATAATAACATCAAATCGAACAATGACGGGAGAAGATGAGGAGTTCACGTGCAAGATGAAATTCCAGAAGCCGACACATAATTACACTAAAGAGACTGGACTTGTGCAAACCCGATTTACCAGCCATAATAATTTCTTACACACAGATTTGGCGGTAAATAATTTTTCTTACCAACTAACTCATCATCATAATCATCTCTGTGAATCGGCCAATAGTCCAAGGACCTCACTATCCTCGAAATTAGAGTCCACAGCAAGCTGAAACGGTGTTCTACCTTGCTCGTCTACAGCCCGTGGATCAGCTCCCCTGAAAGTCAACACATATTACTGTTTTTTAGTTTTAACAATTATCACAGATCTAGTGACACGAACAAACGTAACCCAACAGATGCAAAAATGAAACATTTTGCTTTGATTATTTTGAGAAAATTTCAGTTCAACTAAGAGTTGGAAAAAAAAAAAAAAAAAAAACACAAACAGAGATTGAATGTTGTG